ATTAAACCAAATTTATCAATAGATAAAGTACTGTATGTAAATTTATTTTCCATAAAATTTAAAGCACTGCTCTATAAATGACTTTTAAATGTTATTTCCACCATTAAAAGAACAATGTATAGCATATTTTTCTGTGATTAAACTGAGTATTCTCAATAAATTGTAACCTTTCTTTGATGTTGTGCTGTTCTACGGTCCTATAGAGGTGGGCAGTGCAACCTAAGCCCTGTCATAGATGGTCCCAAGCTGCTGTTCTGCCATTGCTACCAGCTTGGCTACCACTCTCAGGCTCTCAGCGGTCACATCTGACTGTGGTCATAGGAAGTCGCCTAAATATACCTCTGCTTCTCACTGCCTTCAATTTGTTGTGTTTAATCTAAGATACAAATCAAGGAGGCTACTCTAACGGTGCATAAAGGAAAAACAGGCTGAGTGCTAACTCGGAGACATTTCCAATTCTAGGTTTTCAGCTATATTCAATTCAGATCAGCGTCGGCAGCACTCAGAATTACTGAAATAAGTATGGTTTCCTACCTCTACCTTCCTATGTAATTCAAGCAAAAACAGTGTGGAAGTGCGTTCATTTGAGTAAGGAAGACCATCAAGGCTCAGATTTTTTCCACAATTATTATTTTAATTCTTTTATCAAAATATCAAAATGTTTAATGGCTTTGCTAATGCCATTAGCATATTTTCCGTTTTGTTGATGATCTAGCCTTGGATTGCTCAGCTGAGAATGTTAGTAAAAATATGAAGTATTATAGCTGAGCTGATGTCCTCTTTAAGGCAGGAATATACTACTTTTGTGGCCCCTCTAATAAAACGGGAGGGGAGTTTCCTCTTCCTCTTTCTCATTGCCCCATTGCTATGGTCTGAATGTGTGTGTGTGTTTTCCCCCCCAAACTCACACATGTTGAAATCTGACTCCTGAAAGGTGGTAGCATTAAGAGGTGGGCCATTGGGAGGTACTTGGATCCTGAGGGTGGAGTCCTCATGAATGGGATTAGTGCCCTTATTAAAGGCTACAGAGCGATCCCTCACCCCTTCTGCCATGTGAGGACACAGTGAGAGAAGGCACCAGCCATGAACCCTGAGGAGGAACCTCATCCCACCGTGCTAGCCTCAAGAACTGTAAGAAACAAGTTTCTGATGTTCATAAGCCACCCGGTCTGTGGTATTTCATTATAGCAGCCCAAACACACTAAGACACCCATATATGCATGGACAGACATGAGTAAGTCAATAAACACCCCGCTCCTTCAACCACATCTTCACTGGGCTGAGAGAGCAGTCAAGGAGCACCCGCAGACCACTTGGTTAAAACCGACTGAGAAGCATAAGCACATCAATAATGAATCCTGGAAAGTTGCCAGAGTTAATGCTTCCTGGATTGTGAGGACATCTAGTAATAATAACAATAGTGCCTATCTATTACTGAACAGTTGCTACAAGTCAGGTATTATTCTGAGCTTTGCATACATTAATTCTCACCACAGTCTTAAGACTGCGTACTATTACTATTCCCATCTTTTTAGATGAATAAGCTGAGGTTCCGAGATATTAAGTAACTTCTCTGGCACCAGACTCTAAGGTCGTCCTTGTGATCCCTGCCCCCTGGAGTTTCCCATCTTTGTGTAACCCCTACCCCTTGAGTGTGGGCCAACTGTGACTTGCTTCTAACACATAGAATATGGCTAGTGTGATGGAATATCACTCTCATGACTATATTACATTATATAAAAGACTGCTTACTGGCTTGATAAAGTAAGCAGACATTCTAGGAAATCCATTGGCAAGGAACAACAGGGAGCCTGTAGTTCTTTTGCAAACAATGGAGGCTCTCAGCACTGAATGCTGCTAACAGTCACCTGAGTCTGGAAGCAGACCCTGAGCATCAGATAAAAGTGCAATCCAGCTCATACCTCGATTGCAGCCTTGTGAGATCCTGAGCAGGCGATCCAGCTAAGCCATGCCCAACTATGGAAACTGCGAGATAACATATGTGTGCTATTTTAAGCATCCAAGTTTGTGGAAATTTGTTGTGTAACCATTGAAAACTAATACATTTACCCAACTCAAGTGAGTAAGTGCCAGAGTTAGGAGTCAACTCTAGGCTGCAGTGTGGCCTCAGAGTCCACCCTCCATGGTGCTCTGCTGCTCCACATGCAAAAAGAATAATGGGGCCTTCCTTTTCTAGCTGAGCACTTAGCTCCTAATATAGGGTGTCACTGAAAGAGAAGCATCATTATCCCCACCCTACTCCCTGGCTCAGAGATTTTTTCCTGAAAGGGAAAGCAGGCCATAAAATAAATAGCTCCTTATCTCTTCCCAAAGTAACTGACTTCATTGTCAACAGAGTGTAGAGAAATCCCAGCACTCTCAAGAACAGAGGAGGCTGTGGCATCAGGCAATTGGAAAAGGAACAATAGATTCATTAGAAATATAGACTGATCTACAGGCCAGGGAGTTTGCTGAGAAAAGAAGGAAGCAGTGGGGTCAGAACAAATCTCAATAATTGACTTCAAGAACTATCCCTTCAAAGGAACCCAAATTTGATTAGTCTTTGGAGCAATTTATGCCCTAGGACATTGTTGAAAACAATAGTCAGCCAGCAATTAGTGGGGCTTAACATCTGGGTATGGTCAGGAAAAGACCAAACATAGCACTGTCAAAACCACTGTCAGTCATTCGAGGTAACGGTAAGCTAGCCCAATTCTGCACCTCCCCCCCACCACCACCCCTGAGAAGAACGCCAGAGGCATAATACTGCAGGGTGGGGTGGGGGGTAGACTTCATTAAAATAATCCAGCCAGGCACTAAACAAATAAACTAGCAACAAAGAAGAACAAACCCCAGAAGGGGGAGGGGACCAGTACCCAGAATTACTACATCGCATTATCTAAAATGTCCAATTTTCAGCAAAAAAAAATTACAAGGCATGCAAAGAAACAGAAAAGTATAACCAGTAAATACAACAGGGGGCGGGGGGAGAGGGAGGACTGGCAATAAGAACTGCCTGTGGGAGCCAACCAAATGTCAAACTTAGCAAAGATGTCAAAGTAGCTGCTATAAATATGTTCACACAATTAAACACAGAAACCAGGGGCGTGCTTAATGAAGAAAGAGGTAGCTAAGTTTCAGTAAGAGAGCCTAGTGGCATTTTTTATTACTTACTACCGTCCTCCATTCCCCAGCCGGCCGGTGGTCGTGAACATGGTGGCCCACATTCCTGCTTGCTGGTTCCAGGACCTGGTTCTCAAAAACCTGGGGTTGTGCTTTTTTGACCTGTCGGGCGGTTCCCTGGGGAAGCAGCACAGAGACTGGCCTTGGTTGTACCTCCCTCAATGTGGCATTAGGTTCCAGGAGGGAGCTAATGAACGCATTTAAGACATGTGCTCTCCACAAGCAGCAGGCAGACCTAAAAGCCTGTGGAGGAGGATGCTGAGGAGGAAGATTCTTGGGCAAATAAGGACTTTCAACTGCAACCATGTACACCAGGGAATCTGGAGTGCAACGTGTATATTCATGGTTCAGAAATGACCTGAAAGGACCCTAAACTTGCACTTGTTTTTATTTATCTTTTTAAATTGATTTCAGAGAAGAAGGGAGAGGGAGAAATAGAAACATCAGTGATGAGTGAGAATCACCACAGCCTCCTGCACGCCCTCTACTGGGGATCCATCCTGCAACCCTGGCATGTGCCCTTGACTAGAATCAAACCTGGGACCCTTTAGTCTGCAGGCTGACGCTCTATCCACTGAACCAAACCAGATAGGGCCTAAACTTGCACTTCTGACTGACCCCTGGGCACTGCACAAACAGGAGGTGAAAGCTAAGACAGAGCTGAAGCAATCTGGCTTAATGTTGAAAGAGCTTTCTAGCTTAGAGCCAACCTGTAAAGACCAGGAATGTTTATTTTTCTTTTTGCCTCTTGGCATTAAGGAAGTCTCTGTCAGATCACTGGCTGAACACAGAGATAAAGGAACAGAAACATCAATGCTCACACACAAAAGAAATATAGTCTTTGCAAAAATTGTTTGGAAAAATCACTAAACAAATGGATGGTTGTAGTCCTCAGCAATGAACAATACCAAACTCTTGGGAGGGGAGAGAATCTGAATTTCAGAATTATCACATTATAGTATTTAATGTGTCCAATTTTCAATGAAAAAAAAAAAAGTCACGAAGAAACAGAAAAGTTTAGCCAACTCACAGGAAGAAAAAGAAAATTGGCAGAAATGCTCCCTGAAGAAGTCCAGACATTGGACTTACTAGATTAAAAACTTTAAATCAACTATTCTATATAGTATGCTCAAAGTGCTAAAGGAAACCATGAACAAAGAGCTAAAGAAAACCAAGAGAATAATGTATATGAAATGTATATAAAAATAATGTAAAAGGAGATGGAGATTATTTAAAAAGGAAGGAAATAAAAATTCTGGAGC